CCTCCACAACTAGACTGAAGAACAAAAGGACAGCAACTTGTCTGTTCCCCTTCCCTGATTCCCCAACGCTGTTCCCCTCCTCCAATTCCCCAATAAAATCTTTGTACAAAATGTAAAGCAAATCACAAAAAACAACCTAAAATACACAAGAAAAATTAGGCATTCCAGAAAAAAGTCTATCAAACTACACAAATCAGGAAAATTATAAATTATTTTTAAAATCTCTGGTGAAATGTAGCACACCCCATGTCCTGGCCTGGGCCACAGCCATGTGGGGCAGGGTGTGTGATGCGTCCGGCTCGGAGCAAAGCAGGGAATCTGACATTATAGGACAGAAGTGGCTGCGGCCTCCACAGAGGACGGCACTCACAGTGCTAACTGGAGAGGTGATGGCACTGCCCCCAGGCGGCAGCCCTGTGCAGACGCTTACGTACGCTGAGTGTGCAGCCCTTCAGCAGGTGCTGGGCCAGTGTCCTCTCCAGCCGGGTTGCGGCCCGGCACAGCCCCGCCTTCTCCCGGGTCATGGCGCTGAGGGTCTTCCTGAGAGAGTCGTTGTCCCTCAGCAGGGCACCCACCAGCTGCTCCTGTCGCTGCGTCGTCATGTTTTTCTGGAGAAGGAGGAAACAAAAACAAATGTGTTAAGTGGCACACACACCACCTCAGTTTTTTATTGTTGGTTTTTTCAGGGATCATTTGAAACATATTTGGGGTTCCGTGGGACGCTTGTAGGTCCGGGCGGAGCGTCCGTCTGTGGGATGGGAAACAGTAAAAGTCATCGAATCATGTTTCTTCTCAATTCTCTCTGAAATATATGGCGCAGAGCTGGGCTGTGTGAACAGAGCGGGCCTGGCACCTGACACTGCCCGGGGCAGTGCCCAGACGACAAGGGAACGTCGCGTGTGCATCCCCAGGGACCGGCGGGAAGTCCCTCAAAACAGGCTCATTACTTCCACAACCAGAGGGACCTTCGGCCTGTGGCTGAGGAAGGCACAGTGCCTGGCAGACGAGGAGAGGGCCACAGCATACCCCACCGCTCTCCTGCTGCCTGTCAGCACGCTGTCACCGGAAGCTGTGATCCCACAGCTGTCACAGATGTTGTCAGGAATTCCCATCAGCAACCAGGACCTCACACACCTGGAGACGCAGCTGATGGGTGTGTGGCAGCCGGCGCTCACCGGGGGCCCCGCAGGAGTGCCATGAGCGCCACACGCCTGCCCCGGAGGTGCCTGCTCGCTTACAGGGAGTCACACAGAAGACGGAGGAGCGGCCGGTCACAGTGGAAACGACACGGGCAGCAGGCGGCCGAGGGCCTCTCACCTGGGAGGAGCGGCCGGTCACAGTGGAAACGACATGGCAGCAGGCGGCCGCGGGCCTCTCACCTGGGAGCAGCTGGGCGCGCTCAGCTCGCACTTGAGCTCCTCCAGCGTCCGCAGTAAAGACGTCACTGCTTTCTCGTTGGATGACGTCCAGTCACTAATTGTCCTGTCAAAATGCAGGCGCATTTAAATGGTTCACAGGTCCCTACTGCCCAGTACAGAGCACCAGGCTGGCACAGCGCTGGGGTGGGCAGCCTGGGAAGCCCCAAAGGCTCCAGCCACCCCACTGCCCACTGGGCGCCCACCCCTCCCAAAGAGCTGCACGGAGGTCACGCTGCCGTCAGGAAANGCCCAAATTGTTATGTGACATTGTCAGCCAGATAACTAACACTCATGGGGTGATTATTACACGCATTTACCGAGATGTGCTTGCACCAAAGGCACATTTTTATTAAAAACAAAACACCAAGTATTTGTGAAATAACCACAAATTCAAAGCTCTAAGCTATTACACAACCTAATGTTCTCTGACCTAGAAATGCTAACTCCTAGAAGATGCAAATTCCTAGCTCTCTCGAACCATCAAATCACATTCCTGGAGCCCAGCAAGGGCCCCACACAGGAGCCATTCGAGCCACGGGGCAGGCACGGTGTGGAGGACACTATGACCAGGCGGTGTGTCCAAACGTACATAGCATGGCCTGGACACCATGATGTACAAAGGACCCCCCCCGAGTTCCAACGGGGATACGCTAATAAACACAGGATTCCACAGTGAGGGGAACACAGGAGCCACCCACAACAGACGGGGACCAGCCTGTCACGGAGGCCGAAGGGAGCTCGAAGCACTCCCTGGGCCACACAGTCAGTGGCGTCTGGCCAGCTGTTTGGAACAGGAATTGGAGGCAGCCTGGCAGTGCCACCCCCACTGCAGGGCATGGCTAAGAGGACAGGTCCCTGAGCCGGTGACCCTGGGAGCAGCTCCGTGTGCCCTCCCTACGAGGTAGGAAAGACCAGCGTTTTTCTGGTTTTAAAACAGCTGGGTCGTGCCTGGAGACAACACTTAAGAAACACACGTCATCCTGACACAAAGAAGAAAATGCTCCACAGTTCACTTTCAGCCTACCTTTGGTTTTCTCATTAAGAATATTCATTTCCTGGTTTCAGTTAGCTTTCTTACAAAGGATGAAAGCTTTCCCCTGGTGACTGTGTTTTGGTCCACGCAGGCCCAACGGGTTGCCCTAAACAAGGAACCTGGAGACACTTTCTGAGCAAGTTCCAGAGAAGCAGACGGGCAGTGAGGTGACACTAATGGCAGCCGCCATCAAGACTGAAATGTGGAGCCTTTGTGACGACTGCAACAGAGCGCCTAGCCGTGGGGCTGCTGGCTGGCTGGGCCCAGCTCCACAGCACAGGGTCCCGTCACCTCACCTGACGGAGCTTCAGAACTGACAAACCCACAGTGCTCATTAGAGATGTCAATGTCCCCCGGCAGGCGCACCAGCCAAGCTGGAAGAAGCTCAGCTGGGGCACAGAAGACTCGAACCCCATCAACCGACTGGATCTAACTGACCTTTCCAGGACGCTCCACCCAACACCACCAGCAACATCAAATCCGTCACCAAAAACTTTCCAAAAAGGAAGCACTAGGCCCAGATGATTTGACTGGTAAATTTAACAAATATTTAAGGAAGAAATAAATACCAGCTCTACATACTCTCTTCCAGAAAGTGGAAAAGGAGGGAACGCGTTCCAGCTCATTTTATGAAGTCAAAACCAGACAAAGACAACACAAATAACTCCAGATTAATATCCCTCATGAACCCAGATGCAAAAATGCTCACCAGAGTACAAGCAAACAGAATCCAGCAATACCCAGATAGGATGCATCACGAAGGGTAGTTTTTCCTGGGACGACAAGGTAGAGCCAACATTCGGAATCACCGTGACCTACCAGGTTTACAGACCAACAAGAAAACCACACCATCCCAGCAACAGACGCAGGAAAGCATGACAAATTTCAATACTCGCTCATGACAAAAAGTCTCTGCAAACCAGAAACAGAAAGAAGGGAACCTCTTGAAACTGACGAGGGCGCCCCCAGAAGCAAGTCTCTCATGGTGAGAAACTGAGCCCCACCTGTGATGGAACCAGGTGTGAGCGCCTCGCCACACCTGCCCCCACTGTCCTGAAGTCCTAGCCAAGCAGGCAAGAAAGAAACCCAAGTATTCAAATTGGAAAGAAGGAATGACACTCCCCGTTCGCAGACGACATGGCTGTCTGTGTAGAAAGTCCTACAAAAAGGCTCGAGGGCTAAATAGTGAGGCCAGCACAGGCACAGGTCACAGGCCAACTAGGAGAATCAGTCACGTTCCCGTACAACGCGAGTGAGAAAACGTGTGGAAGCACCCTTTACGACAGCCCCTGAAAAACGAAATCTTTAGATCTGAATCTAACAGAATGTTGATGGGGCCCACATGCTGACATGACGGCTACAACACGCTGAAGAAAGAAGCTTTAAGACGGAAGCCCAAGGGGAGACACGCTGGGTTCACGCTCGCGGATGGGAAGGCCCACATGGGGTGAAGATGCCAGTTCTTGCCCAGAACTGCATACTCACTTTCCTGAGGTATGTTTCACTACCCTAAAATGCATTCTTCTGAAGTATACCATTCAGTTGCTTCTTGGTATACGATCTGATCCGAGAACATTTTCATCACCTGCAGAACCCTGTGCCTTTAGCAGCTCCCCTTCCCCTAAACCCTGACAGCCACTAATCTAGATCCTATCTCAACACATTTGTGTGTTCTGGACATTTCATATAAACGGAACCGTAGAGTACACGGCCTTTGCAGCTGGCTTCTTGCACTGGTGACACTCCCCGGGTTCACCCACACTGCAGCATATGCTCAATCCTTCATCCCTACTGACTGCCCAGTAACGCTCCATTACGGACATACCGCTTATTATTTTCCTTTCATTGATTACTGGACATTTGGGTCGTTTCTACTTTGGTGCTATGATGAATAATGGTGGTAGGACAACTTGTGAAAAGTTGTTATGTGGACATGTATTTTCATTTCTCCTGGGTCAAGACCTAGAAGTGGAAATGCCAGACTGCTTTCCAAAGGCAGCACCAGTTTACCTTCCCAATTTTTCCCACATTGTTCTACAGATTCAACACAATCCCAACCAAAATAGACAGCAAGATTCTAAAATTTATATTTAAGGATACAGGTACTAGAATGGCCAAATAATTTGAAAAAGAAGAAAAACTTGGAGCCTTCCCACTACCTACCACCTGAAGTGAAAATGGAGCACAAGCCTACATTAATCAGGCAGCTTGTAAAGGACAGGCTTACAGACCAGGGGGACAGAAGAGTCCAGACACGTGTACACAAACATTATTCACTGATTTCTGACAGAGGCACAAAGACATGCAAGAAGACAGGACAATCTTTTCAACAAGGTGTGCCAGAATAACTGATGTCAGATACGCGTAAGAAGAATCCTCCCCCTAGCTCTTGGACCATACACAAAAATTAACTCAAAATGGAGTGCAGACCTCAAAGTAAAAGTGTAAAACTTTTGGCATTGTGACCGTAGGCAAGAAGAATAGGGCCGCGAGCAAGGGGGGAGGAAAGGGAGGAGGGGGCAAGGTCAGCAGTTAAGGAAAAGGCCCACTACCACCCGGCTGGAACTGGATATCGGCGGCCAGGGGGAGGACTGCGTTGCCCCTTCAGGTGAACTTCAGCTGATTATAATACATCATAATGCTGTTAGCATGGCAGCCAAGAAAAGTCTCCACTCTGGGTCGCCGTGAGTTCCAAGAGGCAAACAAGGAGAAAAACGCCCCCTCCCAACATGAAGGAGTGTCAGCAAGGACCCGACCAAGATGCCTTGGACACACGTCCAAGTCCTGCATGCCCCACCCTTTCATTTCAAGGGTGATACGTCCCAGACCCATTCTCTTCGGGCAGCTGCTCTTCTCCGAGCCTGCCAGCTCGTGCTACCTTGAGAGTGACTGTCCTCTAATAAGCCCATGGCTTGCTTAGCTGACTCGGGGCCTCCTTGAATTCTTTCCTTCAACGAACACCAAGGACTCGTTTCTGGCAGCAGCATGACCCACGAAAGAACAAATCGATACACAGGACTTCATCGAAACTAAAAACTTTTGTTTCACAAAAGATACAATACAGAGGAGAAGGCACAAATGGAGAAAATATTTGCAAATGACATTCTGACAAAGGTGCTGTATCCAGAATACAGAAAGAGCTCTCAAAGCTGAACAGAAGAAAACAAGCACTCCAAGCTAAGAACAAGCCAAGGCTTTGACAGACAGCTCAGCAAACACGACATACCCACCAGAACGCTGATAAAAGGTGTGTCCAAATGTACATAGCATGGCCTGGACACCATGATGTACAAAGGACCCCCTGCGAGTTCCAACGGGGATACGCTAATAAACACAGGATTCCACAGTGAGGGGAACACAGGAGCCACCCACAACAGACGGGGACCAGCCTGTCACGGA